CAGTGCAGGCAGAGTACGACGATGGTAGAAGACGAGAGTAGTGAGAGAGATGAGAGGATGTAGAGAAAGAGAGAGAGGAGAGGCCTCATAGAGAGAGTAAGAAGAGAGATGTTGTAGAGGAGAGTAGATGAGACGAGAGAGAGTAGGAGTGTGAGTATAACTGGAATAGAAGATTATAGATCAGAGAGGTAGAGAGAGATCAATACGAACTAGAAGAGCACAAGAAAAAGAGAGGTAGAGGTAGAGGAGAGCAGAGTCGAGAGCAAAGAAAAGAAGAGGTATGAGGTAGGACGCAGAGAGCCAGAGATGACCGAGAGAAACGAGAGAGAAAGAAAAAAGAGAGTAAGCGGTAGAGATAGATAGATAGATAGATACGATAGATAGCATAGATGAAGAGACGCATCCGAAAGAAAGACGCACGACGAGAGAGGACGAGAGAGAGAGCGTTCACACTTGACAGACATGCTATGCTAATATCAAAGATAGGTGTGTTTCTGTTTAGTACATATATCTGACGAATACTAACTACATCTACATAGTAAAAATACTGGACCTATTGATACCGCAGTTATGTTTGCTTCCTAGATATCCACAGACTTAGCTCTGTGAGTTCACGACTTAAAGGGATACTCTTTATAAATGGTAATTATTTTATTATTATTATTTATTATTAATTCACACAAAATGACGTAAATCCCCCCCACAAATAACCTTTAGACGAACACGTACGGAACACTCACCACACTCACACACGTTCACATTCAACCTATAGTTCCAACACACATGACAAACGGCTTAAGGTGCTGTCACACTAGCACTCTTTCGTCATTACTTTTTTTTTTTTTTTTTTTTTTTTTTATTTTGACAATTTTCATGATTGTTCTACCCCTTCATCGATTTGTCTTCCGTTTTTAAAAGACGACCTTGTCGATTTTCCAGTCACGACCCTTCGCCCCGAACCTAGATGATCCGCGACTTCCGTATCCGAAAACCTTTCGCAACGTTTTTTTTCAAGCTCCAAGCATAGTCAACCAAAATAACATCAAGAGCTATATATTCGTAGAAATGTTTGCATTTATGATCTTGTTAAATTATCTAAATCTATCAAATCGTACAAACATTAGATACTAAGGAAATATAGTGGTTAGTATTGTTGAGTCTCAAGCACCTTTTACTAATCTCAACGAGGATCCTTAAGATCTTCTCAGTCGTCTCTCCTTAGTTTTGCTGTCTCATTAATCGGCACCGTGATCTTTCTCCACTTGCAGGAACCGCTCGAAGACCGACCCGCACTGCAAGCTCGTCGCAAGGACGCGACGACGGAGCTCACGGAGAATTTATCAGGCTAACGTCTGGGGTCTATATAATACGGTTTCCTGCGGGATTGCTTCCAGAGGTTCGTCTCAGAGAACAACTGCAATGTCTGAACAACCCTGACGGATTCCACTGCAGTTAGCAGAAGACAACCGAGTGTTCATCTCAGGTGGGTGAGAGTGAGGGTAAGAGGGAAGCAGAAGAACGCAATGGCGGAAAGACGGCAAGCTGAG